TCTCCTCCCCCGCCCCTCCCCCCTCGAGCTGCCCGCTCCCCCGCGTTCCGGTTCCCGGCGGTCCTCCCTATATCCTGCGGCCCCAGCCCCTGGGGCTCCTGAGCTGTGCAGTCCCCGCATGGCGCCGGCTGATTAAAGACGGTAGAAATTGTTTGCCATTCCTGCCCTCAGGGGCCATGTCTTTCCTCCTTTGAACTCGGGCTCTCCCTGCCTGCTCTGAGTGCCAAGGAAGTGGCGCTGTGCTGGCCTTTGAAGGGCTGGCAGCGTTAGCCTTTGTTTTCTTTGCTCGAGTTCGGGGCCTTCGCTTAATAAGTCTCAGAATTTGGAAGTTGCAGCGATGTGGGGAACCCCAAAGTAGCCACGCAGAGAGGCTGTGTGGGGAGAGGTGCCCCACCAGTCTTTAGCAGCCGGCTATCCAGGGGAGACCCACACATTGGGGAGCAGTGAGGAGCCCTTCCAGGAGCCCTGTTGGAATTCCTGGCCCACAAAATCATGAGCTATAATGATAAATAATTGTTGTTTTAATTCCCCGAGTCTGTGGTAACTCCTTACATAGATAACCGGAATGTTTGTAATATTGGACACTTTGTATTAACAGACTTTGGGATCCCAAGGTTCTGAAATAATAGTAATAACGCCTAACATTTATGTGGCAGACAGTATTCTAAGTCAGAGTGCATGATCGCATTTAATCCTCACCATTTATTATTATCTCTATTTTTTAGGGGAGGAAACTGAGCCACAGAGAGCTTTAGTAACTGGTGCAAGCATACACACAGCTGGTAAGTTGCAGAGCTGTGATCTGAACCCAGCTTGGCACTGGAGCCAGAACTTTTACGAGCACTTGCTCTGTTCCTGTTAGATCTGTGAAAAACTGGAATTGGAGACCTTGGAAGCCTCAGCATCCCAGGGTGTTAGACTCACAAAACCTTGGAATTTGGGACCTCAAGACCCTGGAATTTCTGGGCCCGGAGATCCTGACCCCTAGGGCTGGTGCAAGGACACTACTTAGTATCTGGAGTGGAAGTAGGAGCACCAAGGCTCTGCCCACCTGGCCCACAGGTCAGCCCTTGGTCCTGTTTGCCCCCTCGTACCCCAGGCTGCCTCCTGGCTTTCTCTCCCTTGTAGCGTGTGTGGGTCAGAGTTGGAGGAGCTCTGGGGTATCCGATGACAGAATTCCTTTCCCACGTTATCAGAATTTCTTCCTGGATGCAAAATTCTCATTACCTTCTCAAAGCAGTCTGTTTCATTATTATAGACTCTTCCTTTAACTGCCCTGAACTCTACCTCTGTGTACCTTACTTAGGGTTACAGGATCGGTTGCCTCTCAGACAGGAGAACCCTTTGCCTCTGGAAAGTAGACACCCAGCTTGGACACCCCTGCCATCCATAATGGGGATGTCAGTGCCCCTGGGATTTCTTCTCCACTTACCACTCTGGCTCCTTCTCCATACCTCAGGGCCCCTCAGTTTCTCGATTGGACTCCTCTCCTGCAGTGATTCTGTCCTCTGCCCTTTTCAGGCATCTTCCCCCGTATCTACTCCCTTGGCCTGGTCTGTCCTGCTCTTTGATCCCTCCCTCCCTCCCTTCCAGCCGACTTCCTGTGATACCGTTCCCCCAGCATTCCTACCCTACCCTTTCTCAGTATCCCCCTCCTCTCTTCACTTCCCTCTCTACCCAGCTCAAAATTCACTCCCTTGCAGAAGCCCTCAGCCTCCCAGATCCTTTCCCTCCATTGGGCTTGCTGGGCAAGCCTCCCCCTCCCCTTACTTTGTGCCTGCATCTGAGCCACTGACCTCCAGTGGGCGCTTACTGCAGCCAGGCCATTTCCTCTATTCTCCCAGTTGCTCTCCCCATGTCTCACCATCCTCACCTGAAAGACGCCATCCTTTTCTCACCACAAACTCAGTGCCTCCAAATGGACCACCAGCCACTGGGCAGGTTCTGTGTAGGACATGGCTTTGAGCCCCTGGCTGCCTGTGCTGGGTGGGCTGTACGGTCTTGGTGTCCAGAAAGGACAGGAAAGGGAAGGACGGTCCCCCCTCACCCTGTCTTTGCCTTCTGCATCAGCTTGAGATCCTCTGGCTCAGGGAACAGGGTGCTACACTACCCATATCACATGCATACCCTCCCACTCCCTGATTGGGCAGCACTGCTTCCCTCCCCAGGCCTTACCTGCCTACAGCAAAGACAGTCAGCCCAATGGTGAGGTTCTGCTGTATAGCCTCTTGCTGGGCCACATCTGGATCGAAAGTGCCATCCCAAATAATGGGGGCCCCCCAGGAGGTACAGGTCAGGACTTCAGGCCGGGCCCTGGCCAGGGCAGGGAGGGGAGATAGGTCCATTCATCTACCCCCTGGTGATGCTCACTGCCATCTCCCCATGCTGGGCCCTAGGGACCCCCAGGTGGGACTTAACTGGGTCCCTAACCCAGAACCAACACAGAGGATCCGTAGATGTGTGACCCGCCTGGGCTGCTGGGTGGGGTGCCTGGGTCACTCACTGGGTGAGGGATGTGAGGAAGGCAGAGGACGCTGGAGCACAGACTGTAGGGGATTGTGGGCGATCTCAGAGTAGGAGGGATGGTATCTCCTTACCAGAGATGCAGGACACCCGTGAAGTTGTCTCTTATCAGGGGCATTCTGGCCAAAGGGCAGGTGCCCATGGGGATGAAGGTTTCCAGATGCCTGTTGGGTAGGGGCAGCAGTCGGGGGCATGCCAGCCTGCCCAGGATCCCTGTCGCTCTGCTTACAAGTAGGGAGAGCCCACAGGGCACTTGTGCAGGCTGGGATGGCTACCACCCCTCATCCCTCAAGGAGACACTTGGAAAGATCCACTTTAATCCTGCCCCTGTGGGACCCACCTGGAGTGCTTGGGAAAGGAGGTTGTACCTGACTGCAGGGAACCCATACAGGATCATCCCTGAGAAGCCAACTGCAAGTAGGATCAGCCGCCAGAAGATTCTCTTCCAGGCCCTGGGGAATGGGGAGGGGCATCAGCAACATACTGTTTATATCTTTATATTTATATTCACAATATCCATACACACAAGAGAAATCACTTGTGCAATTTAATCTTTTTTATTTATTTTTAATATGAATATATTCTCTTCATGTGGTACATTCAAAGATACAAGAGGAAATACCGTGCAAATCTTTCCTGCCCCCAGACTCCTAGCTTCTCTGCGTGGAGGCAGCCAGTGTCACAGTTCCTGTGTGCCTTTCCAGAGAGAGTCTGTGCACAGACAGGCAGTGTGGTAAATATGGTAGCAGGTTCTCCCCCAGCCCATTTCCCTAACCCTTTCTTTTCCTTTCCTTTTCTTTGTTATCCTGTTGTGGTTTTCATCTCCCCACAGATAGTAGCACAGTAGATATGCCATTCTGCGCCTTGCATTTTCAACTGACCGTTATGTCTTTGAGGCTTTTTCATCTCAGTGCTTAAACAGCTTCCTTACCCTTTTTTCCATTGATTGGCAATAGCCTAATTTACCTGACCAGGTAGGTCCCTTCTGATGAGCATTTAGATGTATATCCTTTGCTTCTCCCAGTAGTGCTGGGGGGCATGGCCTTGGGCAGGTTTGGGGGATGCTAACATTAGGTGTGGGGTGTTTAGTCTGGGAAGGGGCAGGGACTGACCTTGGATGGGAGAGAGTCTGGGAGGGGAGGCGGGGGAGTTCGTGTCTTGGTGGCTGGAAGGTGAGAGCTAGCTGGGACTTGAAGATGAGTTGCCAGGCTGCATGGAGGGCAGCTGTGGTCAGGGACCATGTGTCTATCGTGGCTCTAGTCACCGGCTGGTTCCTCCAGCAGAGCTCAGCAGCCCTGTTCCTGGCTCAGAAGAGGTGAACTAGGATTTGTCTGTGGCTGGTTGTTTTCCAGGAATGGTGCCAAAAGTTGAGAATCTTAATAAGCCCCTTCTGGGAGTCTCACCCTGCTCTCCTGCTGTGTGCCCCTGTCTCTGGAGAGGCTGGAACCATGTGGTGAGGAGCACAGACATTGGGGCCAGACCCTTGGTTCAAATCCCAGCTCTACCTCTTATCCTCTGTCTGAGCATGGGAAGGCTTTGGACATCTGCACTTTAGTCTCATCTATAAAATGTGAATAATCATGGCTACCTCAGAGGGCTGTCGTGGTTATTCAGTTATTACGTGTTTAGCGCTGAGAACAAGGCCTTGCATAGTAATAGCTGAGTAAAGCTTTACCTGTTGTTATAACTGTTCCTGAACAGAGTTAATAATAACATCATTATTCCCCCTCTGCCCCTCCTGCTCCTCCAGCCCCCAGGGTGACCCTGCCTGCTCACCCCTCACCAGGACCATTTCTGCAGCAGCCTCCATGCTTCCAGTCATTCCCCACACAGCCCCCAGAACATCTCATAATCCAAAATGCCAACCTGCCTTACCAGTTTCTACTTCACATGACCAGGTAACTCCCCAGAGAAGAAATGCGTTTAGTGGTCACACAGGGAAGAACACCCTCACTAGTAATCAAAGTCATGTAAATTAGAATGGGGTGGTGTGTTTTGCCTATAAAATGAGCACATTTAAAAAAGAAAGAAAACTACCCGCTGCAAGAATACAGTGAGATGGGCACCCTCACACTTGGTGGGATTGTAGAGTGCTGCTGTAGCTAAACTGCTACTTAGATATGGAAATTGAAGCTTTCAGTCTTCATCCCCTTTAATCCAATAACCTCAGCTTCTAGGAAACTGTTCAAAGGAGATAGTCTTCAGTATGGGTTAAGTTCACGCATCAAGACCTTCACTTGTTTCTGTTGCATTCAGCCTATATGGGCACAAGCTCATAATCAGGCACTGTGCTAGGTCAAGGTTTCAGAGGAGAGCGAGACATGGACCTGTCTTCAGGGAGTGGAGTCAGGAAGATGGATATAAATATAAGATGCTAATGAGGGCAAATTGGAGGGTGGCACCTGAGCCTTGAGAGGTGGGAAGTCAGGGAAGTTTCCTGGAGGAGGTGACCTCTAAGCTAGGAACTGAGGGATTAGAAGGTATCCAAGCGAAGGAGGTAGTGGAGGGGGAAGGAAGGTCTATGAAAAGGAAACAACATTGTGCAAAAGTGACCAAATGTCTTTCTTAAGATACCACAGCCTCTATCAGACCTCTTTCTTGGAAGTGGAGTAGGGGCTGAATCATGGCCTGGAGCCTCTGGTGGACTGATCTGGATATCATTGGTACAGTGACAGGACATCCAGGGCATTGGTGCCACTTGATCTCTCCACTTGGATATCTCACAAGCATCTCAAATTTATATGGCCAGAAAGGGACTCTCGATTTTCCTCAGAAACCTGCTCCCCACTCAAGTCTCCCCCAACCTGGGAAATGACATCACAATATATACCCCATTTCTCAAACTGAGGACCTAGGAGCCCTCCTTGATTCCCCCTCCTCTCTCGCCCCACATGCAGTCCACCAGCAAGCCCCTTGGACACACTCCACCCCACTCCCACGAACACACTCCATCCACGTGCCTTCACCTCCTCTTATTCTGCTCCAGGCCACCGTCTGGATAACCGTCATGCATGCCTTCCATCTTCCCTGCTTCCTCTTGCCCCCCAACAATCCATTCTCCAGGATGAACTTTCAAAAACACATTAGCATACATTTCTCCCCTCTCCTAGACCTTCCAATGATTTCTTACTGCTCTTAGAACAAAACCCACACCCTGGGGTCTGGTTTGCAAAGTTCCATGCATCTGGCTCCTGGGGTCTCTCTTGTGCTCCCTTGCTGTGCTCTGGCCTCCCAGCCTTGCTCGTCTTTGCATGGCTTGCCTTTCTTGTCATTTGGAACCCAGTTAGGATTCTCTTTGTGCCCTCTTTCACCCCATGGCTTCTGTCTGCCAATGACTCTGCAGTGTCTCTGTCCAGTTCAACCCTCACTGAGCCCTGGACTCCGGTATCATGTGTCTCATGGACTGCTATGTCTACCTGGGTATCCCACAGACACCTCAAACTCAGGGCTCCTCAAGCTGCATTTTGCATTTCCCCTGATCTCTTCTTCCTTCTGCATTCTCCATGACTGGTCCCAGTTACCCAAGTGGGACCCCCTTCTCACTCCCCCTATAGCCATTCACTCACCAAGTTCCATTGCACTTGCCTCCCTCATTGAGCCCTAAGCTCCCTCCTCTCCACCCCACTGAGCTCGTCCTGCCTAGTCGTTTCTCATCTAGCTAGATTCCTGCAGTTGTCTGCCTCCCAGTCTCCGTCCTGTGCAGTTTCCAAGACTTGCTTTGACTTTGTGACCTCCCACTTCTGTATCTTTGCCTAGATTGCTCTTTTCCTGTCAACTACCATCAAGCTCCCAGTCACTCCTCAATACCCAGCTTCCTTCCTGGGATGCCTGCCTTGGCCTTCCCCTCCAACACCCGCTCTACCAAGAGCTCCTCCCATGCAAACCTCTACTGTAGCGCCTGCCAAACTAGACTGAACTGCCTGCCCCACTAGGCCATGAGTTTCCTGTTTTATTAGACTTTGGCTCTCACTGCCAAATCTGAGAGCCTGCCTCATAGTTGGTGGTATTAATAATTATTCAATAAATTAATGATATAATCACTGGGTTCCTTGTCTTCATTCTCTTTCCTAAACTGACGGTTACTCGTTTGCCTAAAACTCCATTTTCTTTGTGGTCATCTCTGCACTTTTTCTGAATAATCCCAGAAATTTACTGAGACAGACACTCCGCTGGGAGTTTCATGTCCCTATCTCATGGAAGTCTGACCACGATTGCTTAAAGAAGATACTGTGATTACCTGCACCTTATAAATGAGGGAACTGTGGCTCAGGATTAAATCGCTTGCTCTGGCTCACATAACCAGTAAGCGATGGAGCTGAGGTTTGAACTTGGGGTCCCTGTTACTATTCCTCATGGGCTTGGCTCCTCTCAAGGTTCCTCACGTTCCCTGCAAGTCAGTGTCTCTCCTGCAAAAAGCCTTTCTCCTCACTCCAGCTCCATGCCGAGCTCCTGGAGGGCTGGCTGCACCAGGGCCTCTGTGGCTCCCGGAAGCACGACTGCCCAGGAAAAGGCTGGAGCGGACCTCTGCGCTCTCAGGCTCTCCCTACCCTCAGAGCCAGCCCCTCCCAACCCGGATAGGGCAAACCCATGCTTATCTTGGGCACTGGACCTCAATCAGGGCAGTCGGGCAGAGCTGGACCCAGGTGGGCTCAAACTGTCAGGTCTGGGAGGGTGCAGAGACCCAGGCCTGCAGCAGGCATCTGCCAGCTCCTGCGACCATTTCCATGCCCCAGCCTGGGAGCCCTTCGTCCATAAGGCCACTGCCTGAGCCGTTCCTCCACATTCCTTTCTCAGGTATTTTCAAAAGGACTCCTTCCACCCTGCTTCTACCTGCAGAAGGTGGTCTCTCAAGCCCACCCCATGCCCTGTTCCCTCCTTCCTTTCAAGAAGCAGTTAAAGATCAATCATTAGTTCTTAAGCAGGAACAAGCTCCCAATCCTGGACAGTCACTCCCATGGAATACAGAGACTTCTCAGTTACAGGGGCGGTGCACCCCAGGTCTCCATTCTCCAGCTCACCAAGGGGCCCAGAGTTAAGGGAAGCAGGAGGGTTCCCCCAGCTCCTCACAGACTGCAGTACCTACTAACCTCTCCCCAACCCCTGTCTATACCCCTTGGGCCGTGTTCCTTCTTAGAGTCACCTTCTCCCAGGCCCACCTTGGTGCCTCCTCCTTGGCTGTTCTAGACTCCCCTCAGGTCAGCTGTCCTGCCCCAGCTTCCCCCACACTGGCAGTGGCCCCACTCACCTGAGTCCCTCTTTGAGAGCCATGTTGAGAAGCTGGTGGGACAGCCTTCTAAGAGCTCTCTCAGTTCAGAGCCGGGAAACAAATGACCTGGCGATTGGGACAAAGCAGTTATAGGCCATCTGGAACCACACCCACAAGGGCAAGCAAGCAGGGATGAATTGCCTTGAGTGGGACTTGCTTAGGAGCGGCACCTGCTGGAGGAAGCTGGCCTCAGGCTGGGGGGGGGGGGG